CACACACACACACACACACACACACACACACACACACACACACACACGGCTCTTTTTATTGATCTGTTATTGCTACAGTCTGCTGTCTGGAGCTGCTGCTCTCGACAGAGTGGAAAGACGTGCAGAAGACCGAGAGATGAAAAGCGTCCCGTCAGAGCCAGCTGACCACAGTCATAAACCACACCGTGAACACCGTTTAGATCACTTTCCTTTGACGGGTGAAATAAAATGGTTCGGTGTAGGAATAATTACTGCATGTCGGTCAAAATCATTACCATGTATTTTTTTGTTGCTCCATGGTTTAATGCGTAGTGTGCAGTACTGCAAGTACAGGATTTTGACGGTTTACACTCGGCTACACTCATCCGGTACTACGTCCAAAAGCACCAACCTTTCACGGTGCAACCAAATATTGACCAAATATTGTAAACAAACTCTAAATGTCATCACTTCGAAAATGTACCCTGCTACCAAGGTGAGTAACCCTCATTGATTTATTGGAACGTGGGAGGATGCCATGAGTGTGTTTTGCATTACTACATTGTAAGCTGCATACACTTTGAATACGCTTATGTAGCCAACCGAACGAACTCACCCTGTGTGTCGTCATTGTGCTCGGTGGCCTGCACAGCCTTGCGGATTTGCATGCGGATGATGTCAATTTTGGTCTTACTGTCCTGCTGCATCTGCTGGGCCGTCTGCAGCATCTTCTTATCCTGATTGAAGGAGAGACGAGACCGGGAGCAAAAATCACGTGACGGCAAGCAGGGAGGTAAATATACTACTAGAAAACTTTGGGCAACAGAGAGGAATCTCTAATTTTTTTCTTCTTCTTCTTCCGTTGATTGATTGTTATGGCTGTTGAATCTGTATTTTACAGCAGTGAAACAGAAAGGGAAGTGGAGGTATGAGAGCTAGGTCAAATGGCAAGGTGATTCATAAAAGAGGGGGAGGGGGTCTTTTGAAGTAATCGAGGGGTGAGGTGTGTACAGGAGGGGAGGAGTTTGTGTGTCCCAGGGTCCTATGCATTTAGAGATCGTCCGAGTCAGCAGATTGGTAAAGATTGTGGATCATGAACACACACACACACACACACACACACACACACACACACATATATGGATGTGTATGGATTTAGCCAGTACCCTGTACCTTGGTGGATCCGTTAGCGTAGATGGGGATCATGTTTTCGACCCCCTGCTTGACTTTGAGCTCGATGTTGAGCTGTCTCTCCAGGGCAGCAATACGGTCCTTGTGGGCCGACCTACGACTCTCCGCCCCGGGAGACTGAGGACACTCATCTGTGCGGAGGGAAGGAAAGAGATGATATAAAAAGAAGGAACAAGATGACGGTTCACACGGTGCGCCCTAAAGTCAAAATACTCTCTGGGGAACTTCACGTAATGTCAAGCTGCTCACTCATCTGAAACTTTCTTGGTGATATCGGGGACAAAGGAAGCAAATGACGAGGGGGGGCAGTATACTTTTCACACGCGTACCTTTGTTCTCCTCGCCTCCCTTCACCACGATGTGAGCGTCCAGTTCTTGCAGCTGAGCATGCAGGTTCTCCAGCTTGCGGTTCGAAGAACGCAACTGGCTTTCCACCTGCAGTCATGTGCAAAATACGGTAAAACAATCATGATCAACACACGCAAGAATGTCACGAGAGGCTGGAGAGCAGACCTTCCACTTTGAACCAGTTCTACAAGCCATTTGTCCTTCAACATCGTACTCGATGTACCACAAAAATCTGCTAACTTTCTGAGGCGTTGCGATGATGTTTTCTATTTTGATGTTGACATTCTGGCCCTATCTTTGCCTGGCGCTGACGTGCGTCCTGTGTGATCCGATCACAAGTGGAAAGCACCAAGTACGTCGGTTCACACCGGGCATTAGAATGAGTCTCCAAATGAGTTTACTTTTCAGTGACCACTTGGGATGGGATCTCACTTCCCAACGTACAGCATTTAGGTTTGCCAAAGTTTTTAAAGTGGTGGGAGACGGCAATGCACTTCTCGTGCCTGGTCTGCCTGATGATGAAGATGAAGAAGAAGAAGAAGAAGAAATCCAAACAATGGTACAGGCTGGGTCTATTCCTTGGTGTGTTCCAGGCAAACCAAATCACCTGATGTAAAACATCTCCATATCTCATCATATACGATAACTGAGGCTTTGACTCCAACAGGGGTTGGATGAACACACTATCTGACTTTTTTGCTTTAGAGAATCTCTCCTTTAATGCTCACAATTGCATGTGAGCAACGCATCTAACTCTCCACCTGCTCGAGTATTAATGTTCACTTCTAGCAACAGGCGGAGCTGGTGCAGCTGTCCTGGGAACTGGTATGTGACTGACTCACCAGCCACTGTTCCAGTCATTAAACTGGTTTCCTGCAGTCGCACTGATGTAACATTCAATGGTTTTGTCGCTGGAAGATGCGTTCTCACATTAAGTATCCTTGTAAAGTGTCCTTTTGCCAAATCCAGACTTTCTCTTTGCTCTTTCAGATCATCTATTATCCGTTGGCTCTTTTCCACACTAAAAATAAGACATTTGATTCTAACACGTCCTGGAGTTGGAGGCTTTAAGGATCCGAGGGTAACTGTGGCAAACCTGATGTGCGTTCCTCTTGTCAGTCGTCGCCCTCCGTAGGTTCTCAGCTCCCTCCTTGATTTTTAGCTCCCTACGAATCTCTCTGCGGATCTTTTCGCGATGCTCATCCAGAAGCTGCTGCACGCTGGAATCGGAGAAATCAGAGTTCTGGTCCAGGTCGAGCTGCTCCAGAACCGACAGCTCGCCTGAGTCACTCTAGACGGGTGAACAGGGTAGGGAGAGCGGGAAGGAAACAAAAAAAAAAATAAAAAAGGATAAAGAAGTTAGGCGACGTGGTTATGAACAAAATAAAAATGTTTACAATACAAGGCTTACTGAACAACACAGTCAGCCTGGTTGGAGGAGGTGTTGTGAGTGATATAGACAGATGAGGATGACATGGTGAGCTGGATAAAGCTGTAATGGGAGGAAAGACAGAGGGGGAGCGAGGATAGTGATGGGGGGTGGGAAGGGAAAAGTTGGGTAGAAATAAGAATGCTAGAAAAGGAAGCAGGAGGAGCAGAGAGGAATGACAAATCTTGTTCAGCCGGTGTTTATAATATTTTAAAACAAACCTCCAAACTGCTTAAAAGTAGAGCTTCAAGGTTCAGGAATACCATTAGAAATGTTGTTTTCAATATAGTCGGCCTGACAAACAGGCTAAAAATCGAGACGATACACAAACATCAAAGTGGATTACAAATCTGTCCCATGACATGTGCTGTCCATTGTCCTCTTTCAGTATTTTCCCATGAACCGCTGCTTCGCCACTAGGTGAGATCTCAACTTAAACCCACACACACTTGGTACGAGTAAATAACTGGGCTCCACAAGTTTCAGGAGAGACGTCGTTAATCACTACAAATCACACACAGCCCACTATTACAGGAACACACCAATCAAACAAACAAGCCCACTGCACTTCACCTCCGAGCTGTCCTCATCCTCCTCGTCGCCATGCCAACACATAGTCCACTCGGATACGGTGACCCCGAAAAAGGGCGACGGAGGAACAGAAAACTTTGGTACGTTCCCGAGCTCGGCCAAACGGCTAATGCCACACCGAGAGCAAAATGGGTTGGCGGGGGAGAAAACGAGAAAAAGAGAGGGAGAGTTAAGTGAGGGAGGAGGGGCAACGCCTCCGAAAGAGGATATCCGTCCCAACACCAAGCTGCTCAGGCCTTTCCTGTTTCCTCTGCGATTTTGTTGCTGTCAGTGGAGAGCGAGACGCAGAGAGAAGGGGGGGGTGACAAACTCGAAACATCAAGGACACATCCTAAACTGGATCTGTGGCAGTCAGCTTGGACCACGTCAAGTCTTTGTACACCCATTAATCAGATCAGGCTTGAAGTGACTTTGTGACAGCTGTTTTTTTGTCTCACTTGGTTCAACGACATGATCTAGAGAGGAAACCAGGGAAGGATGCGTTTTCTAAGTATTGGATCAACGCCAGAGAGTAAGCTTGAGACGCATTTCTGCTGCCTGCTTGACCTCTTGTTTTCCTGTGGGCTCCACATCTGCAAACCACAGTGGTGGTTCCCCCTTCCCCTGCGGAGACTATGGGATACAGTCACAGTGGTGGGTGGCGTTAGCCCCCCTGAAGCTAGCCTCCAACATCATAATCCAAAGTGGGAAACGAGCATACGGTTTGAAGTGCCATTACGCGGCACAATAACAGCGATCTTACCGGTGAACTGTACGTCACACTGTGCCGGATAGGTGTCATCAGAAGCACGTCAGATAATGGAATGAACGCATGGTGATTTCTACCAACATGGTGTAAAAGGAAACCTAAATATGCAAACAGAGACACAACACGAGTTCTGATCATAAACCCGTCCTGTTGGCTACGGCGCTGGAACTGCTGTCATTTTTGTTTTTGTTTTAAAGCCTAAATTTAAAAACATGAAAAAAAGAAGCTAAATGTTTTAGCATCTTCCATACACTTACACGCACAATGGTGAGCTTTGCTATGTTACACTTTTGAGCTACTTATTAGACCTGTGATTAATACAGATGTTGGGTGGTGTACTCCCGTTTCACCGTTTCAGTTAAATTAATTTGAATTCTCAAATCTAGCTAAGAGCAAAGAAAAGTGCCGCGCACTGTTTTTCCTCTGGAGGAGACGACTGGAAGTGTTGTGAAGTCAGCTTGGCGAAACAGACGCATCAATCATCTTTGGGCAGACATTTATGACCTAATTGATGTACTTGCTTAGCTACGTCCAACTGCAAGCCATTAACAGGGAAGGGAGAGAGAGAGAGACTTACTCTCAAGTGTTACATGACAAAGGCTTTGTTCCCCTCTATGCACATTAGATCAAACGGTTACATAATTAAGAGCCAATCATAGATTTGTCCTCCCAGGGTATTTAAGCTTTAGAGCTTAGAATATAAACATATATGAAAATGGTGCTTAGAATCTTGCGCTGGCCACGACCAGTGTGTTATGCCCCATTTCATGCTGCATTAAGGTCGCTGGTGTGACCCACATCTACAAACCAACAAGCCACATTGTTTGAATTTGGTCCAAAAATTAAGAAATTTTGACACACGCAGTCTTGGCTTCCAGAGGACGTGACGCAGTGCGATCAAACACAGTTTTGGATCGACGACTACAGATTTCACCACGTTTCGTCAACTGTCATCTTAGTAAAGACTCTTCACATTGTGCAATGTTGGGCTGTGAATGTCCATCTGACCCAAAATTAGAAATGATCTCCATACAGTATATTTATTCATTCACAGGTATCACACAATCGAGAGAGAAGAAATTGCAGGCATGAAGAGGTTAACAGCTAGCAGTTAGCACTGTGCCACCGCTACAAATGAATACAGACAGTTGATGAGGTGTCAGCGGGCCAAAACAATAGCAGTTATCTGGCAGCTTGCCTGATGGCTGCCCAAACATTAAAAGAAGTGGATAACAGGCTTCAACAATGGTGCCCATTCACTTCAATGTTTTTACTTCCTGGTTTGCCTCTACATTGTACATACCGAAAGATGACTTTAAAATGCACTCATGCACTTTAAAATAGCTTTTCTAGGGAAATATTTAATAATTGGAAATTCCTAATATTAAGACCAAGACCTTGTTTTCAGTTAGAAGTTTCCCGTCAATGGGGAAAATGCTTTTTGGGTCACAGGACGGCGAGTGGCCACTGGTGTTGTGTCCAGCTCCCTTAATACATCCAACAGAGGGAGAAGATGAAGGAAAGGTCAGTGACGTCACCAGAGTTGGCCAAAGACAGGAAGCCATCAATGACAGGTGACACACCCCTAATCATTTCCACACACAGTCTTCATTAATAATAATGATTTCTTTTTTTTTGTAATCTTGTCTTTACAGTTTGAGAAAATTGTCCGGTTCAGTGGAAATGATTACCGTGTTTTCTTGTCACAGGAAGGGAACGAGTGGACCACTTATGTCTGTCATTTTGAGGTCATTATGTTGTTTGTCTTCAGTCTTTGCACATAAAACCGACTCCTCAGTAGATCTGTGTGAGCCCAGATAAGAAAAGAAAGGGGACACCGACTGGAGACGGGGAGCTTTACTTCCTGTAATTGAAAAGATGGACTGAGCCGACCAGACTCACGTAGTTTACCCTCTATAAGCAAGCAGACACCAATACCGTAAGTACATTAGAGCTTTACAACTAAATATGGATTGTTTACCAACTGTGATGAAAGCTGCAGTAATGGCTTAACAGTCAACACATTTCATGTATGGGCATAATATCAATGTTATGTGTCCCATATATGCTTTTTCCATTTCATTAATAAAATCTGGTATTTAAAACTCAACCTCAAGACTCTGATTTAGGATCTTTGCAAACCAAAACAAATACAAATTAATTAATTAAAAATACTTATTGCCTCAAAAACTTTCCGGACAGTTTGACAAATCATTGATCTACTGCTGAACGAAAATATTCAAAACTAAGGATGAGAACAAAACTGTCAAGACTATTAATACAATAATGATTACACAAAATCCTGAATTCCATCCATAATTGCAGCACTGACTACCCTCAAGACTTCACTTTGACATAAGACATTTAACTCCTCTCCGTCTCCACCCACCACCTCCATGTGTAAAGTGTGCGTGCATGTGATCCACACTGTGAGAGACACTGATGAAATGTTTGCTTACCCTTACAGCACATTGGGAGTAGCTGCTGTTGCTTAAAAGAGGTTGGAGTGTTTCGGTGTAACTGTGGATTGTTGTGTTTCTCTGCTGAGCTACAGCCTCACTGCCAAGTGATTGTGTGTCAGATGGTGAACTGATTGTGTAACTGAGGTGGAGGGATGTTGTTGTGTTGTTGAGTTCTTCTACTCCGCTCACGCCCTCTCATCCACAGCATTGTTATGACTTTAAGCACAGATGCAGTAATGTAATGTAGTAATGGAAGCAACTACTCAAAGAGTAAGAATTCAGTCAAGTATTTACTAAGAACTTTGCTATTCTTAGATGTGTAAGACACGTGTTCGGTGTTGATGGACTGGGTGGTTTTCAGCACAACTAAGTTACTTTTTTTTTTGATTTGGCAGATAATTGGGGCTATTGTTTTTATCCATGTTAAATTGGTCCACCACTTTGCTTTATGACAAAATACTTAAAAAATAATGACATTCCCATCAGCCTCAGCTGTACTTTGTTTAGTGCTAAAATGAACATGGTGAACTGTAGACCTGCTTAGCATCAGCATGTTAGCATTATCGCTGTGAGCATGTTCGCATGGTGACATTAGCTGTACGAGGGAACAGTTGTGCTTTGAGCTAAATGCAAACATGGCTGTGGACTCTTAGTCGTGTGATATTTAGGCAGTCACCACGATGAATAGACAATGCTACATCCAATGAATTGGGTCTTCCTCTCCCTTCATTAGAATATACCGAGACTGACAGGGAATGTGTGTCCAGTCTGACACAACTTTAAAAAGAAAAACAGATTGACAGCTGGTTCACTACAATTAGGCTTTAAATGATTTCCAGTTCTAAGTTCCTAAGACATAATCCTGTAGTACTTGCATTACATTATTTCATATAGAAATATGTTGGACAAATGTTTTTTTTTTAAAACTTAATTTTGGATAACTTTTATAGTGATTGGACATGTCCGAGGCTCTGATTGGGCAATTTGGCAACAGTGCTGGTGTTCTTAATGCAAAAGGGGGAACTTGAATGCTCTCTTATCACATATGTATTGAAAAAAAACAACAACCCGTAATCTCAATTTCAAGATAAATCGTACTTCAACAGAGAAATCTATCAGTAGCTACGATCGACCCCGACTCTGACTCTATGGTATGGTTGCAGCGTGGGTTTAGTCTATCAGTCTATGTATGCCCTGCTAATGAGATTCATATGTACAGGTCCTCAGTATCCACTGCTGTACAGCCACTACGCCGGAGACAAAGAACAAGATATCTGGTCCAAACAAAGCGGCCGATCGTCACAATCGCCCTTCAGGCCGTGTCATGAGCTCAGTTGGTGGGAACTCGTCTCCTGCCACTTCCAACACAACACGTGTTAACAGACGTGTTAACAGCAGCAGGTGAAAACAGGACGTGTTCCGACACGCATCTGTATGTGGCGTAGGACATACATGCACAAAGATGCATGTCTCTTAGACCGACGCCACTTCAATGAACTCAGCAATTAAAGAGAAGAAAAGCTGATACAATCTTTCAGTTGGTCACCCGGTGTGTGCACCTCTACAAAGACGGCGACAGACAGCTAACGGGGGCATGAATGACTCATCCGAGGCTCATGACGGGCTAATTCAGTAGATAACGGGGCCAAGTGAGGCTAATTCAATCAGACTGTGTGAGCAGCGTAGGGGAGCCTTGGGCTGGACGGAGAGGAACAAGACAGCGCATGGGTGAAGTGCAATTTTGTGCGTGTGTGTGTTAGCATGTCCTCCACTGTGAGGACAATGCCTGGAGTTTTCCTACGGAGTGATAGTGTCCACAGAGAGGAGTTGTCGTGGACAAAGATAAGAGGACAGATATTGATTTTAATGCACACACTGATGCGAAAAAACACATGTGTCTCTTGGGGAGCTCAGCCCATTTCTGACTGAAGCCTGTGTTGCTATAGAGGTCGTGATCTGTGGACTCTCACAGCTCCAGTACACTCACTCCAAAATATCTTGTTAATGTGGGCCGTTGAATATGACACTAGGTGAAAACGCTATTGTAACTGTGACTGGATGCTTTTTCCACCATGAGAGAAGGAAGGACAGGCGGGCTGTGGCTGTGCTCAAAGTCACAGACAACAATAGAGGAGGAAGAAGAAAGGAGGAAAAATAAAAGAGCCTTTTCACAGCAAGAAATCATGAAAATGAGATGGCTGGTAAAGTCCTCCATACTAAACTACAACTGAAAGATGCTGAGGACAGGTACTGATCAGTGATCAGGTTCTTTCTGATGTTTATAGAAGTTAAATTGTTGTTTATTCCAGTATCAAGAGTTTGAGTTTTTTTCTGGGGTCAGCATTTCTTAAATCTCTACAAAGGAGTTTGCACATGCAAAGTTAGCACGACATTTGTTTAGCATGGACTAAATTACTAAAATAATAAAAAGGCCTTTACACATCAGGTGCGTGACAAATAAACATGGAAATGCAAAATACTCGCATGTCGCATCATAACTATATTCATACTGGCAGCGTTGCGACAGTAGCTATACTTAAAAAAATAAAAAAGGTTTGTATAGGTTTGCGCAGGCAGAGGAGAAACTACCAGGATCCTATTGAGACAGGTTGTGAAGACAGACAACCGTTCAAAAGAATATATTGATGTGCGAATTAACTGCACAAAAAGAAACCTACGTGATGCATATTTCTCACTGCTAACTGTAGTGTGTGTGTGTGTGTATATATATATATATATATATATATATATAAAATGTAGATTCTACACATTGATTCACTGGGGTCTCCAACCTGCAAGTTAAGATTCTCAGCCAGCACGATAATCACCTTATTATTGTAAAAACCAAGGCTACAACAAAAAATATCCTATTGGAATAACAAGACTTCATTTAAAAAGAGTACTCCATTGATTTAGCGTCGCACTTTATTCACAGCCGACATTCAGCCCCAACCGACGCCGACTCAGGCGACATTACTAGAGGCAATTCATCAGACTTCACACAGAAGCCTTATAGAACTTATTTTCATACGGACTGTGATGTGAAAAGTCAGTGGAGTTCCCCTTTAACTTCAACCTGTCATTAAGACATGCAAGTCACAAAACAGACAACATAGGATTGGCTGGCTGACTAAATATACGGCGTTCTTCTTGCCTGGCTGAACGGGCTGTGTCGACAAAGGCCATTTGGTGCTTAGGAAAACACACACACACACACACGTAGCTATATGTCATGTTAACAAATGTACTGCAGTTGACACACACACACACACACACACACACACACACACACACACACACACA